TACAAGGCTTGGCTTTTAAAAAAATATTTTTTGGCTCAAATAGATCGAATTTAACAAGAATATATATATTTAATGGTTGCTTATAAAAACAAAGAAAAATCAAAATCCTTCTTTGATAAGTGTTCTGACATATATACAAACTTTAAAGAAGGTTGGTCTCATGTCAATGGTAAGTTCAATATATTAAAAGAATTTTTTCCGTGTTTTACAATGGTATTTCCAACGACTGCTATAGTAGAATCCGATTTTTTAATAATTGGATGTGAAAAGGATAAATTCAGGTCATCTATTACAAATTTATCTGTTGAGTGCATATTAAATTGAAAAAATTTGATTCCGTAAAGGGTTTATAAAAGATAGTTATTGCTTTTCCAGGATATGATATTATTTTCAACATCTTCTTTTGTTTATGTATCTAAATCTCAATAAATAATAGGTTAGTACTTTGCGATAATTAATACAACATAATTAAGCCTATTTACAACAAAACAAAGAGATCACATTTATACTGAACCTAGTTTATTTGTGTGAATAGAGGCTTTTTTAAATTGAAAACTTATTTTAGGGAAATTTCTAAAAAAACTTTTTTTTACTCCCAAAATAGGCTAAATTAGACAATTTAGGAAAACACTTAAATTATTGAGGCCTGGTGATCAATGAATAAACTCTAGGGGTGGAAAAAATAAGCAGCAAGAAATCTAATTAATAATTTCAGAGGTAAATCAGTTTTAGTCTATTTTCGAATTAGTGCTAATTCTAGATTACACAAATTGCATTTTGTACTACTAAGTTATTTGGAAGGACTTAGTTCCAACAGTTCATGTTGGCTTGATGGTCTAGTGGTATGATTCTCGCTTTGGGTGCGAGAGGCCCCGGGTTCAATCCCCGGTCAAGCCCTATTGGTCTTATGGTCTAACGGTCATGACATTGGACTTTGAATCCAGTAGCCCGAGTTCGACTCTCGGTAAGACCTCTCTTTGCCCGGTTAGCTCAATGGTAGAGCGTGAGGCTTTTAACCTCAAGGTTGTGGGTTCGATACCCACATCGGGCGCTTCTTTTTTTGACATTTTTCAGGATAAAATTATGGCTGAAATTTTTTTCATTTAAGCTTCGTTTTTGTTCAATGATATAAAAATATTCAATTATCTATGCTGGTTTTATAACAATCTATTCTATCTTGTTCTTTAAAAGCTATATGTTTACTTTATCTAAAAAAAATAAAACTGCGATGTATATTGTTACAAGATACATTCAACATTTATACTTAAGCTGATATTTTAATTCTAGGGAACTTGAATAATATCTGATTTGGAAAAAAATTGGTTTATGTGATCAAAGACAAAGAAAATTTAACTTTTATTTCCAGAATTGAATTGTCTGTGAGCCAGGAATTTTAGTTTTTCTTTTGTTTTTGATCCTGTTTCAGCAACCATTTTTGATAGTAAAGAGTCTGGGTTACTTAAAAGTTTGTGTGGTGTTCCGAATTCCATTAATTTTCCATGGTCAAGAACTGCAATTTTGTCGTATCCAGCACCAATTACAGTATCAAGTCTATGGGCTATAGTTATTACCGTGGAATTCTTGAAATGTGTGTGAATGGATTGTTGTATTTGTTTGTCAGTCTCCAAATCTACATTTGCTGTTGCTTCATCCATAACAACTACTTTTTTGTTGTGGAGAATTGCTCTACATAGCGAAATTAATTGTCTTTCACCAACACTGAAATTCTTTCCGTTTTCTACTACCAAAGAATCTAATTTTTCCGGCATATCTTCTACTTTTGCCTTTAGACTGGTAGCTTCAAGAGCTATCCAGATCATTTCGTCAGTATATTCGTCAAGTGGATCCAAATTGAATCTGAGACAACCTTCAAAAAGAAAAGGTTGTTGTGGAATCATACTAATCGATGATCTCAATCTTTTAAGTTGGATTGTTGAAATGTTTATACCATCAATATGTATGCAACCATTTGGATATGGTTCTACTAAACGAAATAAACTGGATACTAAAGATGATTTTCCAGCACCAGTTCTTCCAACAATTCCAATCTTTTCACCAGGATTTATGGAAATTGATATGTTCTTTAAAACTGGTTCTTGACAAAAAGGATATTTTAGGTTCAGATTGTAAATCTCGACTTTTCCAGAATCTGGCCATGATGTTGGGACAAGATCCACAGATTGTTCAATTTTTGGTGATTCTTCGGGTTTGAGGTTTGAATATTCAATGTTTCGTTCTACGCTAATGAATGTAATTTCCACTTCAATACTTTGTCTAATGCACCATTGAACTAATCCTACTAGTGTTAGTATGTAACTCATTGAGAGAGCAACTAAACTCGGAGAAATAGATCCACGAATAGCAATCAACGAAAAAGATGTGGATGTGATCAATATTGAGTTTACTATATCCAATCTAAAAGCAAGCCATCTAGCTGCTCCAATAAATGCAAAGAATGCTCTACTGTTTGCGTTTTGTGCATCTATAAACTGACCAAGGAACTTGTTTTCTAGCGCAAAAGCTCTTATAGTTATCAACCCATCCAAAGTTTCTGAAAGTATCGAGTAAACTGGACTTCTTGAAACGCTTTCAATTTTCTTTACTTGTCGACTAGTTTTCATATAAAGTTGGCGTAACCAAATGAACACACCCAAAATAAAAGGAACAGTTACTAAAATATACTTGTTAGAAATACACACCAACACCAAAATGCCCAATGTTTGAATTGATGTCATTAAAGTATCAACTGTTGTTGATGTTAGGGATTCATCTGTGTTGCTTTGATCTTTGCTGAATCTGTTTAGAACACGGCCTAGTGGTTGAGACTGGAAAAATGAAAGTGGTGCTCTGATAATTGCGTTTAGCATTTTTATTAATAGACCATTGGATGCAGACAAAATCAATCGGTATAGTAGGACACACGTTATTAGAGACAAGGTAAATGATCCCATTATTAAACCTAGATATATGTATACATTTCTTGGATTTGCTTTTTGTTCTGGTGGCATTGTAGACCATTTGGAGAGGTAGTAATCAGCAAACATATTTATTCCTTGCTTGCAAAATGCCAAAACAAAAATAAGCAGTATACGAAGGTTTGATGCACCAAATTGGAAGAATTTGACATAAGTCGTTAAGGGAGTTTTAGATTTGCTTGATTTCTCTTCATCTCCAAGTTTATAGTCGTTTATGGTTTTTATGGATAATTTCTTGTCATTTCTGCTCTTTTTTAATAAAAATTTTGAAAAATAGCTTCTTTTCCTTGATTTCATCAAATCATGGCTCTTGTTATCAGACTTTTTGTTATAGGAGATGCTCGGATTACTTGAACTATCAATGAATGGTTGTATATAACTAGGAACAGATAATTTATTATCTAGCACTGGAGTGTCATAATCACTGTCAGAGTCAAATTCGCTTCCAGGTTCTGCGGTTTTATGTTTTTCTGTAGCCGAATATTCCAATAAGTTTTTCTTGCTTTCGGTG